TTTGCAGCACAATTTATATCATGGACCTTGGTCCATATAGCAGACGACACATACATGTTATATATAATAATTTATTTTTCAAATCTGATTTAGGCGCACAGAAAAAAACTCACAACATAAAACACATGCACTATGGTCCATTGTTCACTGTGAACCATGATCTATGGTATAAGGATTGCAAATTTGCCAACACATTCATTGCATCTTCTGCGGTGAGTCGGTGACACTACACCAAATCAACTTTCATCTTATTTTTAAAAATCACTAAAAAGTTAATCTTTCACCATTATAATTTTTTATATGAACTCTTCCTTTTGATCGCAGTTTGCTGGGAGGGCAGGAATGACAAATTATGGAACCGTACTGTGATCCCAGTTCATGCAGTTGTTGGAGGAGCCCAGACGACATACCTCTTCCAATGGCAGGAGATTAACTTTGGAGATGCACAGACCTTAAACGACACTGGCCAAACTGCAAGATGCTGGGGGAAGATCAACACTGACGCTGCACTTGATTCCTTGAACATGAAGATGGGTTTCGGGCTTCTTCTACGTGACTCCAATGGCGATCTTATTGTTGCCAGAGAGATCCTAGTAACGATGATTCTAAGCCCTGGCTTAGCTGAAGCAAGTGGTTGAAAGAGCTTAATATGGACAACATTCTGCTTGAGACCCACTGCCTGAAGGTCATCACTGGAATTCATGCGGAGTCTTTGATTTCATCTTTTGATCTTATTGTTAATGACATTAGAGAACTAGAACTAGCAAAAGATTTTACTAATCTTTGCTTTTTGTTTGTTAAAAGGTCCGTGAATAGAGTCGCCCACTCGCTAGTTCGGGAGGCTCTTTTCTAGGTCTGACCGTGTGGACTGTTCCTCGGTCCCTTTTCTGTCTTTTGCTCATGTTTTGGAGCTTGACTCTCGTTAATTAATATAAGTTTTTGTTTTTCAAAAAAAAAAAAAAATTGCAGATCAAATCATAGCAAATATGCTAAAACAAAGACAAGATTAGAACAACAGAGAAATGTCATATTCATCTCTCTTTACTTGGTTTTGTCAAATGTTAAACAAATAATCTCTTTTGAGGTGAGGATAGTAGTAATATTATGCATAACTTGAATGGTTTAGTCAATCAAAACAAAAGAACAGATAGTCTTACTATATGACCTTGGTCTACATAACAAACACAGATAACTAAAAATGAAAGAGATAAGAAGATAACTTGAGAAGTGGCAATAAAGACGCAATTTTGGATAGCTTTTGTATTCCAAGTCTATAGGCAGTGAAAAACATTAATAACCACTTGGCTTTAAGGAGTTTAAATAGTATCCTAGTTGAATAAAATTTTAAGAGCACTTCTTGTTTAAATAGATTATTTTCCTTGTGAGTTTGTGTTAGAATTTGTGGGTGTTACAATTGAAATCTTAATTAAGTGCAAAAATGGAGGGAGGGAGGGAACAACGAATGGAGGAGCTGAGGTCAAATGCATGTTGTTACAGTTCTTAGATATGCCAAATTTAGTAGTGTTTTTAATGCAAAATATACACTAATTAAGCTAATTAATCTTGTATAGTTGAAAGAGTCCCACATTGCCAAGTTAACCTATGCTGGGGTGCAGTAGAGCAACACAAAAATGGGCTGAGGGAGAAGTACAACATACTTACCTGGACGGGGTCAATGGGTGATCATAAAGGCTCATGGCCTAAGTTGTTGACTTCCATTGCATGCTGGAGGGGTGTCAAAGAGCCTACGTCATAATTTGTTGCAGTGGGGGCCTGCGTTTGCGCGGCTCCTTCCCAACTTTTAGTTTTTAACATTTGTGCCATTATACTCTCTTTTGGTTGCATGCAAATTGATAGTAACAGGGGCAAATTATTCACTTGTTAATTTGTTATACCATTTGTGAATATGTATAGAAAAGTAACATTTAGTATTTAAGTTGTGTATCTTTGGGCCCGAGTCCTTGCCCAAATCATTGTGGTGTGTCATGTGTGGGCCATGGTTTAAAATGACGTCATTTTGATGTTAAAAAAATTACTTGTTCTGTATTTTATGAGTTAGAATAATGTTTTTTATGAGTTGGAATAATGTACTTTATGTGTTTTTGGACTGTGGTCTACACACTGTGTGGACCACGGTCCCCGCAATAATGATTGAGTAGCATGTTTCTTGATTTAGGACTAGACAGACAACAAATGTTATGGAGACTGTGGGAAGAAAAGGCAGTATTTGCCAGCCAGCATTAACATTAATCGTTGCATTTTAGAAAGTTTAACTAGGTAGTTGGTGTCTGCAATCTGCAATTCATATATTTTGTATATGTGCCAAATTCAGTTGGATTTTGATTGAAACTATAAATGCTTCACAAAAGATTACCCAACATTTTAAAATCAATGCCATATTGCAAAATGCAAAGCATTGGGCAAAAATGGTATACCTTTGCAGTGCAAATTAAAGTGCAGAACAAAGCCCCTCTCCCTCTACATTATATTCTGCTGCTGCAAATGGCCATTTCTGTGAAAATTGTACTTTACAGGACAACTACAAAATAACACTATGAATCAGTTTATAGAACCTCTACAACTATGGAGTTAGCATGTGTGAAAACAAGCATGTTATATTTCGAAGAGTCCCACATTGAAAAAAAATAGATGTTGGAACTGCGCAGTGCCATATAAGAGAGGGTCCAGGGAAAGATTGAAACATACTTACCTGGACGGGGTCAATGGGTGATCATGAAGCCCCATGTCCTAGGCGATTAACTTCCATTGCACTTTGGAGGGGTACCAGCCTAAGGTCTGCCCATGTGGTGGAGCCTACGTCATAATTTGTGGTAGAGGGGGCTTGCGTTTGCGCAGCCCCTCCCCAATTTGTAAACTGAAATTTTTTTTAGGCCATCAAAAAGTTAATCTATTGCATTTCTATTCCAATAATTATGTTGTGGGACCATGTTAATCATACTGGATAGATCCATAATTTCTAAGCTGTAGATTTTAACATCTATACTGTAGATTCATAATTTTTATACTGTAGATTTATAATTTCTACAACACAGAAATTATAGATACCCATGTGTTCACATGGTGAACACGTTTCCACAGCATAATTTGCGTTTCTATTTCAATTCACTCTTAAGTTGATAGAGGGATGCTTAAATGTGTAGTTAGAATGAGATAATAGGAGAAAAAGACATTTTTGGTCCTAGACTTATAGTGGCACGGACAATTTTGGTCTTTAATAAAAAAATCAGACAATTTGTGGACACTCTTATTATGACGAGGAAAATTTTGGTCCTCCGTCACTCTTCCCGTTAGATGCGCCGTTTGAGAGGGGGTATTTACGTCTTTTCATGCACCATCATCTTCATCTTCGTCCCCTTGGCTAGAAAAGTCGACGGACTCGAGCGTGACATCTCCTTTCTCAGCCGCATAGGCATCGACTTCTTCATCTCCATCTCGATCACAGTGGCTCAATGCGAGAAGATTCAGGCAGTCAAGTAGAATCTCCAGTTCTGGGATCTGATTCTCCTGTGACAAAGATGAAACCACAACATAAACCCATCCTAGATTTTTCTTTCAGAGACAAAACAAAGCCTTTTGTTCAAGAAACTGTGGACTTTGATTTGTTAACTTCTGGGTAATCAGGCAGGAATCCAGTGAAGGCTTATTATGGAGAAGCTGATAAGCTTACGAGCTCACAATCACCTCTCTCGATTCTAACAACCAAGAAGATGAAAGGTCCATAAAGGAGGAAGCTTTAACTAGAAGTTAAAATAGTCACAGGCAAGTATGGAGATGAAGAAGCGGATGCCCCTGCCGCTGAGAAAGGAGATGTCACACTGAGTCCGGTGACTTTTTAGGCCAAGGGGACGAAGATGAAGATGATGGTGCATGAAAAGACGCAAATACCCCCTCTCAAACGGGGCATTTAACGGGAAGAGTGACGGAGGACCAAAATTGTCCTCGTCATAATAAGAGTGTCCATAAATTGTCTGATTTTTTTATTAAGGACCAAAATTGTCCGTGCCACTATAAGTCTAGGACCAAAAATATCTTTTACTCAGATAATAGATACAAATATTCTAGTGATTCCAGGCATGATTCATAGTGCTGCAGCCAGCTAGAAGATTTTAGAGTTAATTAGTTTGGATTAAGTCATGGGTTACAACTGATTACTGATGACTTTTATAGGAATCAAGATAATGGAAATTTTGAGCAAAATTAATGTCACACAACATCATGAAGCTATTGTTAAAAATGAATAAATGCATAGTATATGCTAATTAATTTTGCATTAGGGAAAAAAGAACAAAACAGAAAGGAACAAATGAGCAAAACTGTGTGAGAGCAAGCAAAAATTTGTATTTTAAAGATTCCCACATTTGAAGAAAACTGCCCGAACTATTAGCATAGCAAAAAATATAGAGAGTTATATTTGTAATATCCTTTTGTCAATACAGAAAATCCTTCTTCAAATTGTCTTTATTGTGTGTATGATTTATTTAATCTTACACTAGAAATATTCTCATTATTTTCAGTCCAAGTTGCTGTTGTATTTTGGTGTTGTGAACCGTATCAATCCTAACAGTAAGTAGTACTAGTTTCATCAAGCTAAGGTTGAGCAATGCCTCCTTAGCAACAGTGCCAAGTAACCACATTATTAGAAGGTTGTCACTGTTGAACCATGTAGTGTATGCCAAATTTGGTGTTTCCTCGCCATCATCTTTTTTAAAAGTTTCTGGTGGTTTGCTTTCCTTGATAGGCTATAAACCAGTGAAAGAACTTGAGATTTCCAAAGCAAATAATTAGTTTGGGTTAACTTTTTCGTTAGGTTGTGAATAATGAACAATTTTTAATTTTTTTTTTTAATTTTATTTTCAATCATAGGATCATGCTTTTCTTTCTTTTCTTCTGATGTATATTGGCTCAGATACAATAAAGAAGATAAAAGAAAATTTTGACTACATTCCTTGATAAAATAGAGTTTAGAAACCTTCCTCCACTCCCCCTAGATATTAGTAACCTCATTTATATATATATATATATATACACATATGAGAGAAGAGAACAACAAATGGAATTAGAAGGATTATTTGCTATTAGAGTTCTTCAATAACTAATTAAGATTTTGAAGTAATATTTTTATCAAATTTACAGTAAAGGCTTGGCCATGAGAAGTGTTGGAATACTAACACAATCCAACTCTGCTTTTAGTCATTATAGTGTTGAAGCTCGTTTCATTATTTATTTATTACTTTACTATGTAAAAGGCTAAACAATAATGTTGTTGTAGTATAGTGGTGAGTATTCCCGCCCGTCACGCAGGTGACCCGGGTTCGATCCCCTTCAACGGCGTTTCCTACAGTTTTTGGATTTCTTTCGTTTAATGATAAAAGGAAATATTAACAAATAAAAAATCCGACCTGCCGGATTCGAACAAGCGACCTAAGGATTTCGGTCATCAAACTACAGTCCTCCGCTCTACCAACTGAGCTAAGATCGGATATCTGTTAGATGTCTCAACAACTATTATTTATTTATTACAAATAGGACCAAGACTAGTGACTTGAAGTGAAAGTTATCGTATGAAGCTACGCATCCTATACGGCGTCCTTCCATTAAGTGCTAAATCTTGTGATTTAGTGGCACCAAGTTGCTATCGCATGTGAGAGGTTGTGGGTTCGAGCCTCAATGAAGGACTGGAGGCATGCATTATTGACTGTTTGTGCTTCAATAGTTATGAATAGATACTGCATTATAATTTTTTTTGGTGTAAACCATACATTGTGGTCCGGGTCTTTCTCTGTCCGTTTAACGGTCCAGGTCCACCCGATTCGCTCCGAGAGGCACAGAAGCTGGCCCAAAGGGAATCGTCACTTGTGGGAATAGAACCCGGGTTATCCCAGAATTCTCCCCCACAAAGAGAGCTCATTTGCCACTTGAGCTACCCTGTTGGATTATACTGCATTATAATAGAATCATTAGTCTATAAATAAAAGTAAAATCCTTATCTTCAACTTTCCCGCCCAAACTAATATGAATATTAATTAATTGGTAAAAAAAATTAATAAATATTAATTGGTAACAAAATTTTATATTGAAATTAACTAATATCTATCTATGCTATTAATAAAAGTAAAATCATCTTCTTCAACTTTCCCGCCCAAACTAATTTGAATACTAATTAATTGATACAAAAATTAATAAAACTTAATTGATAAAAAAATTTTATATGAAAATTAACTAATATCTAATGAATTGTTACCACAAATTAAAGTCAATATGTACTTAAAAATAGAAAATGGTTACCAAATTCTGAGAATAATTAAATCATTATAATTTTGATAATAATGAAAACAAATTTCGCATAATAAATGAGAAAATTATTTTGAAATTCTGCATAATTTTATAAGGAAATAATAATTTATTAATTATTATTTTCACCAATCTATCTATACTATTAATAAAAGTAAAATCTTCCTTTTCAACCTTCCCTCCTAAACTATTATGAACATTAATTAATTAATAAAAAAAATAAAGCTTAATCGGTAACAAAATTTTATATAAAAATTAATTAATATCTAATGAATTGTTACCACAAACTAGTATTTTCACCCGTGCGATGCACGGAATGGAATTGTTGTAATATATTAAGAATATTTAAATTGATATATAATTATTTAAGAGTTAATTTCACCAGAGGTCGTTTATCTTTTCTGACAATTCCAAATTTAATCCTAGACTATAGTTATTAATTATTACAATTTATTCTATGTTACAACTCTTACGTTAATATTCTTACTATTATTATTAACACTTAATTACTTTTAGATTTATTATTATCACTTATATTATATTATTATTATTATTAGTTTCTTTTCAAGTACTGTTAGTATATAATGGTCGTGAGACACAATAATAATATAACCATAATTAAATATTCTTGTATTGTATTCCGGAGTTAGTGCCATTTTTGGTCCTAGACTTATTGAGGCATTGACACTTTTCATCCTCCATAATAAAAATTGCCACTTAGTAGACATTGTTATTGGTCGTTGGACAGTTTTGATCCTCCGTCAATGAAGCCGTTTGCTGACCGTGAATTCGAAGGGCTTTTCTGTATTTTTATGTTTTATTCTTCTAATCTTGTTTAGACCAGCGCTGCTGTGACTCCTGTGAGTCGAGATGGCGAGACTTGGCGGTAAAGTAGTAACCGTCGATAGTGAGTAGCAGCGAGGTTCTTCTCCAGCGAGTTGTGGGTACGACGGCGAGCATACGAGACAATAACTCCTTCCGGCGACGGAATTATTGTATAGATTGTAACGCAGAATTATTGTACGAATGCGAAAGTAGAAATCAATATATTTTATTAGGAAGAGAGATTTTGTAGGAATTGGGCGGGAAGTTAAAATTTCAGAATTTTGTTTTTATATATAGTATAGATTGTATTACACTATTTTAAAATATTATAATTGAATTTTAACGCAGAATTATTGTACGAATGGAAAAGTAGAAATCAATATATTTTATTAGGAATAGAGATTTTGTATGAATTGGGCTGGAAGTTAAAATTTTAGGATTTTGTTTTTATATATAGTATAGATTGTATTACACAATTTTAAAATATTAGAATAGAATTTTAACGCAGAATTATTTTACGAATGGGAAAGTAGAAATCAATATATTTTATTAGGAAGAGAGATTTTGTAGGAATTTCAGGATTTTGTTTTTATATATAGTATAGATATAGATTGCATTACACTATTTTAAAATATTAGAATAGAATTTTAACGCAGAATTATTTTACGAATGGGAAAGTAGAAATCAATATATTTTATTAGGAAGAGAGATTTTGTAGAAATAGGGCGGGAAGTTAAAATTTCAGGATTTTGTTTTTATATATAGTATAGATTGTATTACACTATTTTAAAATATTAGAATAGAATTTTAACGCAGAATTATTGTACGAATGGGAAAGTAGAAATCAATATATTTTATTAGGAAGAGAGATTTTGTAGGAATTGGGCGGGAAGATAAAATTTCAGGATTTTGTTTTTATATATAGTATAGATTGTATTACACTATTTTAAAATATTATAATTGAATTTTAACGCAGAATTATTGTACGAATGGGAAAGTAGAAATCAATATATTTTATTAGGAAGAGAGATTTTGTAGGAATTGGGCGGGAAGATAAAATTTCAGTATTTTGTTTTTATATATAGTATAGATTGTATTACACTATTTTAAAATATTAGAATAGAATTTTAACGCAGAATTATTGTACGAATGGAAAAGTAGAAATCAATATATTTTATTAGGAAGAGAGATTTTGTAGGAATTGGGCGGGAAGATAAAATTTCAGGATTTTGTTTTTATATATAGTATAGATAGATACCAGGACTATGTGGTCCAATGGTATCCGGGTTAGACTTCCATTTGGAAGATTATAAGTTCGAGCCTCAGTGGAGGCGTTATTGGTTCTTTGTGTTTCAGTAGGTTGAGAAAGTATATGAATAGATACTACAATGTAATAGAGCCAGTAACTTTCAAAAAAATATAGTATAGATAGATAGATATAGATTGCTTACACTATTTTAAAATATTAGAATTGAATTTTAACACAGAATTATTGTGCGAATGAGAAAGTAGAAATCAATATATTTTAATAGGAATAGAGATTTTGTATGAATTGGGCTGGAAGTTAAAATTTCAGGATTTTGTTTTTATATATAGTATAGATTGTATTACACTATTTTAAAATATTAGAATAGAATTTTAACGCAGAATTATTTTACGAAAGGGAAAGTAGAAATCAATATATTTTATTAGAAAGAGAGATTTTGTAGGAATTTCAGGATTTTGTTTTTATATATAGTATAGATTGCATTACACTATTTTAAAATATTAGAATAAAAATTTAACGCAGAATTATTTTACGAATGGTAAAGTAGAAATCAATATATTTTATTAGGAAGAGAGATTTTGTAGGAATAGGGCGGAAAGTTAAAATTTCCGGATTTTGTTTTTATATATAGTATAGATTGTATTACACTATTTTAAAATATTAGAATAGAATTTTAACGCAGAATTATTGTACGAATGGGAAAGTAGAAATCAATATATTTTATTAGGAAGAGAGATTTCGTAGGAATTGGGCGGGAAGTTAAAATTTCAGGATTTTGTTTTTATATATAGTATATATTGTATTACACTATTTTGAAATATTATAATAGAATTTTAACGCAGAATTATTGTACGAATGGGAAAGTAGAAATCAATATATTTTATAAGGAAAAGAGATTTTGTAGGAATTGGGCGGAAAGTTAAAATTTTAGGATTTTGTTTTTATATATAGTATATAGATTGTATTACACTATTTTAAAATATTAGAATAGAATTTTAACGCAGAATTATTGTACGAATGAGAAAGTAGAAATCAATATATTTTATTAGGAAGAGAGATTTTGTAGGAATTGGGCGGGAAGTTAAAATTTCAGGATTTTGTTTTTTATATATAGTATAGATTGTATTACACTATTTTAAAATATTATAATTGAATTTTAACGCAGAATTATTGTACGAATGGGAAAGTAGAAATCAATATATTTTATTAGGAAGAGAGATTTTGTAGGAATTGGGCGGGAAGATAAAATTTCAGTATTTTGTTTTTATATATAGTATAGATTGTATTACACTATTTTAAAATATTAGAATAGAATTTTAACGCAGAATTATTTTACGAAAGGGAAAGTAGAAATCAATATATTTTATTAGGAAGAGAGATTTTGTAGGAATTTCAGGATTTTATTTTTATATATAGTATAGATTGCATTACACTATTTTAAAATATTAGAATTGAATTTTAACGCAGAATTATTTTACGAAAGGGAAAGTAGAAATCAATATATTTTATTAGGAAGAGAGATTTTGTAGGAATAGGGCGGGAAGTTAAAATTTCAGGATTTTGTTTTTATATATAGTATAGATTGTATTACACTATTTTAA